AATACTCTGTATTCCTCTCTCCGTCTCTAAAGATTGTCACAATTCAACTTTTTTGGTCAAATTATGACACCCTTTGACCATAAAATAACTACTCGTATAATTTAAAATAATTAAATATAATACAAATTTGAAATTTCAAAATTATATTTTAAAATAAACCCAAATTTACTAAAGTTACAATATAATCAAACATATTTTTCTTATAATTCACGGTCAAAAACTGTCACAATTTGACCAAAAAAATCAAATTATGACCACAATATTTTATAGATGGAGGGAGTATGATTTTTAGGCACTAGAAATGGAGGCCTCGGGTAATGGGTCCAAGGGAGAGAGCCCTGTCTAATATTGCCCTATACTCGTAGAAATATTAACGGATTTACGTAAAAATTAATATTACATTCGTCTTAGTGTATTCGTTCAGTTTGATTTTTTTAATTCAAAATGGGCAAACATTTTGATATTTGTCTAGTGTATGGCCCGTATAGATTTATTCTTAAATAAATGCCACGATTAGTTAAATGATGCCACGAACCATGGATCACTATATCATGTGTGTAGCATGGACATATGGGCTTATAATAAAATGTTTGTTACTGTACTTGCTTTGTCTTTCCAATTGTTTTGTCATTTATTGGCATGCATTTGCAAGAATTCAAATCGTTGTTCCAGTTGTTTGCGCATGGTGGGTTTTCCATTTGCAAATACGGGCTATAATACACCCCCGTCTTAGAGTCAATGTTTCCGAAACTAGACCACAAATCGATCCAAAAAAGAGGTGAGTCATCGAGGGCTAACTGGTCATCAACTACCCAGACAATTAAAGTAATAATATTATTACTATTATATATTTTTAGCTAATAAAAATACTTTAAATTTTATTTTTATTTTTTCATCTAGTTTTTAAATGCCAAATTTTAGATATAAATTAGTTATATTGATTTTTAGATTAAAACAAATTATGCTCTTTCTTCTTTATTTGGATCGGATTTGTGTCTGGGTTACTATCTTACCGGTCTATAGAGTCTCTCCAATTTAATTCTCATAACACCGCTTAGGGTGTTCGCTCATTTTGACATTTTCAAATCAAACTAATGGCGAAGCTTACTCATTAATTACATCAAATTTGCATTAAATGTTAAATAAAATGAAACAAGTTTATGATATTTTTTGTAAGATAAATCTAGTGTAATACGGAGTACTTTTTTTTTTTTTTTTTTTTTTTTTTGCAAATTCAAGTACTTTGAGTAGGTTTTATTGACCCCCAACTTAGGTGTCATAATATGACACTTTGTAAAACTTGTACGTTGTTTTTCTGGGAACTCAATCTTACTACAAAACCTACTAAACTTTGAAATTACAATTAAATATCTGGGGGGAAGGTTTGAGTTGAGTTAAAGGTGAGGAGTTTACCCCGAGAGGTATATGGGCAGATGCACTCTCTTGTCAATGGAGCACTTGCCACCAATGAAATTTTTGTTTTATTCAATTCATACATTAAAAAAATTATCCAAAAATTAATGATGCCTCCAATAAAATAAAATAAGTAATTTTCCCACATAGAAAAGAAATCATCAAGTAGAAAAACAAATGTTTAAAGTTAAAATAAAAGAATTTAAGTGAAATATTTAAAATACTAATTGACAATTCTAAAGTAAAAATTATACTCCATCCGTCCCCAATTTGATTACAAATTGCGGGTTATGGAGTAAATTTTCCTACTTTTTGAAATCATTTTATTTACAAATTGGTATATCAATAAGATATAAAAATTACATATTAAAAAACTACGTCAAAAGTTCTACAAAACAAGAGGTGACAAGAATATTTTATTTTATCAAATACTTAATGAAATCGCGTAAACAAACAAAAGTTATCGAGAGGAGAGAGAAAAAAAATTGTAATCTATTTAGGGACGGAGGGAGTACAAGAAAGTAAAAGTGTAGGAAAAGTACTAGTATCTTTTAGGCTTTTCATTAGTTATTTGAATGCTTAATTTAGACAAAATTTAATACTTCCTCCGTTTGGAAAAACCCTTCCCATTTGATTTGGGGGCAAAAATAAGGAAATATTAAATTATAGTTGATTTCCAAATTTGCCCCTGATGTGATGGGTAAAAGTAAGATGTGATGGATAGATTATTAAAAAAAAGTATGATGTGATAGGTAGGGTATGAAAAGGTAAGGGTAAAAGTGGTTTTTTAATAGAAAGGGGAAGTGTTTTGTTGGAAGTGGAAAAAATGAAAGAGGAAGTGTTTTTGAGAACGGGGGGAGTATTTTTGTAAGGAATTTGCAAAGAATCCACCACATTTGCCTCCACAGATAACAATCATAAGTGATTTAATACATACACAGAGAATAATCATCTGTACTAACAGACGATTATCGTTTGTACATATATAAAAATCATTTGTGATTGTCATCCATGAATGCGCCGATGGTAGGTTTCTAACATTTTTGTTTTTTAATTATACATTGATTTTCAAAAAAAAAAAATAGAGGCAAAGCCCCCCAAACCCAAAACTCCTCTTGCCCCCAATCTCTTTAATTCTTGGATCCGCACACTATGAATAATCAAATTTTGAAACGGAGCATCCCAGGCGCCTAAATTGAACGGGTGTTGTTAAATGGAAAAAATACTCTTTGCTCAAAATATTTTCACAATACGTTCACCAAAGCATTGCATGTCCATTGAAAACATCCATAATGTTCTATAACTTGACTACACAAGACAAGCATGAAATTTCACAGAATATACACTTGAAATTAACTTTTTTGGTCAGCTTATAATTGTTTTTGTAGGCTGGCATTACTCAACATCAAATTTGAAGTCGTCTCAATTTTCCAATAAGTTCGAGTTTGTGAAATTACAGATGACAACGTGAATTTGTACACATTCAGATGAACCATCTGTGAACTCACAAATTTGTGATGATTATCGCTTGTGTGTACAAATTCGAGACAGTTGCCAATCATGGCAATGGCTGAACCAATATTTAGAGAGACCGGGGCAAGAGTTGTTCGGGCTTCAGGGCACTTGATTTTTTAAAAAAATGTTATGGATGGTAGAGTAGGATATTATTATTATTATTATTATTATTATTATTATTATTATTATTATTATTATTATTATTGTAATGTAGATTTTATTAGGTGAGCAAAATTATAAGCTCCTTCGAGGTTTCTTTACGGTTCTTTCCCTCGTCGCTTTTATAGAACCGTCAGGTTAGCATTAGGGTTTCCTTCTTCCCTATATAAAGAGATGTAACCCCATTTAGAGGAAATCAATCAATAAACAACTCAAAACCCTAATTCCTTCTTCCCTCTCGGTTCGCCGATCGATTCCCTCTTCGCCTCAATTCTTCTTCTTCTTCCTCGTCCCATATTAATGTTTGTAGAACTTTCTTTTCATTGTACTTGGTGTTTTACCCATGCTATACTGTGTACCCTATCATTTTTTGTGCAGGTTGAGCCGGGGGTCTCTTGGAAACAGCCTCCCTGCTTCCGAGTAGGGGCAAGGTCTGCGTACACACACCCTCCCCAGACCCTACTGTAGTGGGATCCAACTGGGTTGTTGTTGTTGTTGTTGTTGTCTTCCTCGTCCCATATTCTCAACAAGCTCGAAGACGCTCTGAGTCTTCCCTATCCGATACGAGTTCGTATCAAAAAATCATTGTAAAATTACAAAAAAAGTATTTTATCTCCATCAAACATTCAAATAATTAAACAAAAAGTAAGAAATACTCTATAATTTTGTTTTTTTGTTGTAATTTTTACTTTCAAATTATCTTCTACTCCCTCCGTCCACTTTTGACTTTTGGAACTGTTCATCTAAGCACATTGCTTGTTTGATTTGTCTTAACATATAGATTATTAATATATAATTTCTATAATTTTTTAATATACAAATTACAAGATAAAATGGATTAAAGAAGTGTATTGGATGGTGTGTAAAAATGAAAGTGGACAAATACTCTGGGACGGAGGGAGTAGTAATTTTATATTTGTTTATTTTAAGTATAAATATTTCGTTTTTGTACTTTAATACTCGTATTTCTTTTTATTGAGAGCAAATTACATTGCTTGATTGTAGAGTGAATCCAATCCTAAATCGTGGTGTCAACCGTGATAGATTTTTAATATATTTTTTTAAAAAATAGATTTTTAATATTTTTTTTTTTAAAAAAAAGTTAGAGGAGAGTTCATCTATTACAATGTGTGATGTGCAAAATTGCAATGACATAGCTGTTGAAACAATAAGTCACTGATGGTGACACATTTCTGCATTTGAAATTTTTGGATAAAACATTCATTGGATGTGTATAAAACTATAAATAAACAAACAAACAAGTACTCCCCATCAACCAACCCTCTTCCCTTCTTCAATCCATTATTATCTATCCCCTCCCCCACCAAACCAAAATTTAGTTATTTTAGTTGAGACAATGTTTTCTATGTGAACATAAAACATTAAAAAATTATAGTAACCACAAACGTTGTTCATAAACAAAGTCTTAAACTTTGGGGTTAAAATTCTCCATTGCACTAAAATATACGAAGTATTGTTTGTACGTTGTACACCCTTTTAAGATAAATCTATTTTTATAACATTCTCTTTGTGTGTGTTAAGTGATAAATTATTATTAAGTATGAGTATCTAAAAAAAGGATTTTGCTAAATTCACATAATTTTTGTTGAATCCACTCTTTTTTATGTTAAATGGACAACTTTGTCTTCAAAAGTTGGCTTGCAACTAAAATCCATTCTTTGTATATTTTAGGACATGTTGTCCATTTAATATTAAATAAGTGGATTTAGCTAAAATGAGCGTGGATATAACAACTCCGATAAAAAAAATACCCATAATCACCACAGATTGAAATTAAAAAAAAAAATCATACACCAAATCCTAATGCATAAAGGGGCAGCTGACACAATTTTTATTGATTCAATGAAAGATAAGAATAAGAAACATGAACTAAGACACTTTAATTAACTAGCAGAAGAGGCCAAAGTTTATTATTACTATCATTATGATGATGATGAACAAAAGAGGCTAAACAAGTAGACCAGCATAAAAACCAATGTCCAAACTGCCCTCTAACCTCTTATAATGCCACAGTGTAAAGACAAACCATGAGATATGACCTTTTTTGGCAGATGTGTGACTCTAATCAAGTGTCTTCTCTCCATCTGATTTTGAAGTTTCTCTCTGGCATGCCTTAGAGAATCAAGAACATCTCTTAGGTTCTGTTTGGAAGCAATGTTTTCAATCAGTGCCAGCTTTTTATATAACTTTTAAATGTGTCACATTTAGATAGCCTTTTTTTCAAAACGCTGAAGCTGTTGCCAAACAAACACTTACATTTGCGTGAAGAACAACTGCGGGATCGATGGTTTGGCTAGAAAAAACTGGTGCTAGAAATGCCAATGAGTTATCGGCTTTCTCTTCACTGCCTGCAGCCTGCTCTTCTAACAGTTTTCCCATGCTTAAATGTTTTAAAAAAATGCATTAAGAACTCAATGTCAGATTTATAGTTCGTCAAGAACTATATATATCTGTACAAACCATGTAGAATTATGAGATTCCAACACAAAACCATTTGACTACTGGACTCGTATTTTATATGTTAGTCTTTTTTTAGCACGGGCCATTCGTTCTTCACTTCTGGACCATACCCATTGTTAAGGAGAAAGCATATTTGCATGCCATAGAGTTTACCTATTGCCATTTTGTTCTGTTTTACCATTTCCCATTGTTTCTTGAGAATCACCAACAGAAGAAGATGAAGAACTCATGGCCTGTTGGGTTTCGAGCATCGTATGTTTCAAGTCTTTGGAGGTAGAACAGGCTGTGTATGAAGAAGCAGATGAATCTTCACTGCCCTCTGTCAAACTCCAGCTCTCTGATTCATGCAATGTGAATGAAATGTTGATGGACTCAAGCTTCTTCATCACATGTTTAAATCGCTTTTCGGCTCGGTTTCTCAATTCAGTCTCCTCTTTCAACATTGCCTCCAGCTCCATTAACTGTTTGTTTTCAAAATCCCAAGGAAAAAAATCATTTTGTGAACTTTATTCCAGAGAGTATGCCTTTTCTCTTCCAAAATATCAAGAAAAACTACAAAATTTCAATCCAAAAAGACTTAAAACAACAACAAACTCGGTAAAATATCACAAAAAGTAGGTTTTAGAGAGTGACACAATGTCAAGGAACCAACTCACTCAACTAAAAGTTCAAGCTTGTGGTTGTAGGTTCAAGAAAGATAGTTATATTCCAACACACATTAATATTTTAAGAATTAGGTGTGGGGGTGAGGTTTGAAATCATGATATCTAGTTGTCTCATCTCACATCGGCTAAACATACCAATATTATGCTATATTTAATAGTTTGGATTCCTCAACTTTTTGAGTTAACTTTTGAGGTTGAATTGGACCTCAAAATCGTTTATTATGTTCGTTAATTTAATGGACTCGACAACGTTTATTAGTATGATTTGATCTGTCCAAATGAACGAATCAAACGAAAACAAACCATAGAAAGAGACATTGGGAGAATTAAACCTTGTTTCCCATCAGGTGAGCTGCTTCTTTAGCATCTCTTGAAGCAGCTCTTTCTGCTACTAATCTCCCTCTCAGGCATTCTATGGTCCTCTTTGTATCTTCTTCCCTCATTCTCTTCTCACTAACATGAAAAAAGAATGGTTTTTTTTAGAGATAGATCAAAAGAAAACTCAAATTAAGAATGTGAGTATATATAAAAAAAAATATAAAGAACCCAAATTTTCTGTTACCTTTTCTGAGATTCCAAAGCCCTTTGTTTCAACATGAAGCAAACAGGTGAAAATTAGTATGATTATGATTAACTGAAATCATTTATTTTAAAGATTATAAAGAACTAATCTCACCTATGAGGCTATGGAAGGAAATGCTTTCCTTTCAAAAATAATGGAACTCTAGATTCTCACAGACAGTACACAATTTATTTTGGGGCTTTTTTTAAGCAATAATCCACGGAGCAGAAAGATTCTGATCGCCATACAATTCAAATTCAAATTCAAAATTTTGAAGAAATAGTTAATCGGATCACGTGATGTTCCATGCATTTGTCCAATTTCACCACCACACCATCCCTAAATCTTTGCACTTTCTGATGTCATTTTTAACTCCACAGTGCCACACCAAAGAGCTATAGTACCTTTTTCGACGTAGTAAGGGTGTCATTGGCATTGTTTATGTATCACTAGATCTATTTCCATCATATCTAATGAAGCCAAAATTATACCATTTTTGGCTTTGAGATGTGATGGAATAAATCAAAATGGATCTCTAAACTGTCTGTGCTTCTTTAATTAATGAAGTAGCAGTTAGTTAAGTAACGCAACTTTCGACGTTGAGCCGTGAATCTCTTTGGAAACAGCCTCTCTACTTTCGAGTCGGGGCAAGGTCTGCATACACACACCCTCCCCAGACCATACTTTTGTGGAATTTAACTGGGTTGTTGTTGTTGTTTCAACCATCACTGAACTGTCTGAACATTATTATTCCTGCTACTAGATATTATTTAAGTACTATTTAGATAATTAAAAAAGTTTAAGTACTACATTAAGAAATAACATATATTTTAGTATTATTTAGTTCAAATTTTACTTGTTTTTATGTGGGGAGTAGGATGGAAATTTGGTCTTGTGAGTTTTGACTTGGGCATTTTTCTTTATGGTTTTTAAATTTTAACCCCCTAGGTAATGATACAGGTAGTAACATAAGAAAACTATAAGTTTTTATACATAGAGTAAGAAAAATGCTAGGTGTACATCAAATGTGTATCCCATTGTCTCCCACCCCCTTCTTGTCCATATTAATGGACAAGAGACAAAAAAAATTAAATAAATAAAAATAAAATAAAAATGAGTAGTAGAGAAAAGAGTGAGGAACAAATAGGTTACATCAAACTAGAATTGCTTATAGAGTAGAATGTTGAAAGAGCTATTCCAACCATTTTAACCTCAATGTTGAGACTTGTCACAGGAGTTTCAAGCTTCATTTGATAGTGGATAGTATTTGTTTGGATAAAGGTACTTGTATCCCAACTTTTTGTACCCCACAGATTTGCACTAATATTTTATGTTGGTGTAAAACTAATTTTTGTAAATGCACCAACACTTTGTGTCCATGTAAATTTTTGTTAACGGGCCAACATTTGTATCAGTGTTAACCATAGTGAACAAACTGAAATTTAAAATTATGTTAATGATGTATGGAGTGATTGGAGTCTAATAAAACTATAGTTTGGTTAACTGAATAAAAAAATGCAAGAAAACATACGGAGTATAAAATTTGCAAAAATACGGAGTATAATCTTAACAAATGAGAATGGGCCGATTGAGCACTTGGGCTTTGCTAAAGACCCTAACAGTCATTGTTTCAATGTGATGATATAAACATCAGTGTATATGCTTCCTCGGGCTTAGGGTTTCTTGTAGACGACGATTAGCCGTTCATCTCTCCCGATCCGGCGCGTTTCAATATCTCCTTATCGGCGAAGAAACCCTAATCGGAGATGGCGACGGCAAGAACTGTGAAAGACGCTTCTCCTCACGACTTCGTGAAGGCTTACGCTGCTCACCTAAAGCGTTCTGGAAAGGTACAAGTTTTTCCTGATCCCTCTCCCGATCGGCCGAAGCTAAATCTCACTGTTTTGTTTTTTGTTTAGTCAAATCCGATCGACAACAATTAGAATGGATTGCTTTTAGAATTTTTCTTCGTTATTTTTTAGCGTATTACAATGGATTAGGTACTTGGAAAGCTTCTTCGGAACTTTGAAGAGTAGAAATTGATTGCACGAATTTGATCTCTAGCTTATTTGTATGTGTAGAACAATTGATATGATATACCACTTAATTTTGAAATGCTTTATGGCTAATTCATAGCTTTTAGGTCTGATGAAGAACTGTTGTATCGTTTTTACCAAGTAGCTTTTGATTGAATTGTCTATTCCAATTAATTTCTATTTGGGTATGGATCTTGACAATTCCTGTACAGTTTGGTCTTGGACTGATCTCAGTTTGTGATTCAAAATGACAGTCCTGGATTGATCTCATTAAAGATAGCCTATTCGTATACTCCATGGCTGTGTGACATTTCTAGCTATTTGGTATGCATTTTATGGATTGGTTCTTGTTTTAATGCCTTTTGTTCTTCCAGATGGAACTGCCAGAGTGGGTTGACATTGTGAAAACTGGGAAACTGAAAGAGCTTCCTCCATATGACCCTGACTGGTATTACATCAGAGCTGGTAATGACTAACATCTGAATCTTATCCCAATTTCGATATCTATTGTATGAATGTTTCTAAACCTCCATTTTTTGCAGCATCTATGGCTAGGAAGATTTACCTGCGTGGTGGACTCGGAGTGGGTGCCTTCCAGCGGATTTATGGAGGAAACAAGAGAAACGGAAGCCGCCCTAGTCATTTCTGCAAGAGCAGTGGAGCCATTGCCCGCCACATTCTTCAACAGTTGAAGGAATTGAATATTGTTGATGTTGACCCCAGAGGGTATGTTAGTTTCTTGACTACTGTTAAAAAAGATTCAACTTCTGGGTTGTTTTTGTTTTGTTTGCTTCGAATTCGTTTCAAATTGCTTTATTTACTTTGAGTTTTTTATTTTGTTTCAGAGGAAGGAGGATAACATCCAAAGGCCAGCAAGACCTTGACCAGGTTGCCGGAAGGATTGCCATTGCATCAGCATAAGAATATTTAGTGACTTCAAGGGATGTCACTTCCAAAGTTTTCGGACAGTCTTATTACCGAATAGCTGGTAGGATTGCTGGCTGTGTTTTGCTTAGATTGTTTGTGTTGAAGTTCTTTGAATGTTAATCTTATGAATCTACATCATTTGACTTCGTTATCACTTTCTTCACTGTCTTCTTCATTATTGTTTTGAATTTCCTTCATACTTGGCCTTTTGAACCTGAGAGAACACTTTCTTACTGCAAACTTTCTCTCACTGTGCAGCCTAAGGGCTTCGTGTGTTCAAAGTGTGTAATAATCACATTATGTTTGATTTAAGGAATTTGAGAGAGAAAAGACGAAAATGATATGGAATTCAAATTTCTTGAGCCAAACATTCATGATTGATTCAGGAAGTGTTAATACTCTCTGCATGTTGGTTAAATGATTCTTATAGGAATTTTTTTGAACCCTGGAATCGGTAAAAAAACATTAGAAATTAGATTCATGTTTAGCCTTCAACGCATTTTTAAGCCTAGTGTTTCATTCTCGACTTGATGAAGTGAAGTGACTACAAGAGAATGATAGTTCTTCTGTCTAACTATTGTCTTGTTTACTACTCTTGTCTCATTTGAATCTTTCTGGTCTGTGTTATGATGCTTGATCAACTTTATTTTCTAATTAATTTATTTGATTGTAGCCTTGTAGGTGTAAAATTAAAAAATAAAAAATATATATTCAAAAATTACATGAAAAGATGTGCAGCACTAGATGTGACATTATTAGATTATATATTATCAAATGAGTAACTAAAATAAGGAAACAAAATATATACGAGTAAAATTTAATCATGTGAATAGTGTACGTAAAGATTCAAGTGAGACGGAGAGAGTATTTCTTTTGTTCCAAAAAAGGTTTTTGGTTTGATTTTGTTATTTTTGTACAAATTTTAAATGGACATGTGTAACTATAGTGATCCGAAAGAAAGATTGTAAGACATTCAAAGTTTACTAAAAAAGAAAGAAGATACTGTAGTCAGTTTTTGAGACCAGGGGAGTATTTTAACTTGTGGATAACCTTTGTTTATGCATTTCTATTGATCATTTATTAAAATAAAGTAGACATGTTCTCACTCTATTTTAAAATTAACTTCTCAATTGGATTTTCATGGTCAATTTTTTTTGAACTTTGACCACAAATTAAATATAATTTCATATAAATTTTGAAACATAGTTTTGAAATAGTTTGTTTTTTTAAATATATTTCTACATATAAATAGGGATATCAATTGTCGAAGTGTTTCATCATAGATTGTGAAAAGTTCAAATTAGAAGTTAATTTTAAGACAGATGAAATAAATATTTATTTTGTATGTATTTTAATATTGTTTTTAAATATGTACTTTCTATTTTTTGTAAATTACTTATTCTTTTTTTAACTTAAATATCAATCTTCTACTTTAAGACTTATCATTTTAGTGGGAAAAATTAACTTTCAAAGTTTTCTAACTCCTAACTTTTTCCAACATTCAACTTTAGAGTTGCTAACTCTATTTTTACAACCAAACAAACATAGCCTATATAAGATAATAAGATGTTGAAAAGTTGAAAACCCATATCTCTTATTGTCAAAAATTGCAAAATAATGAAAATAGCATATTTTTCAAATGAGAGTGGGCCGATTAGTAATAGTACTAGTTTTTAATTGACTGGGCCGATTAGTAATGAAACAAACAGGGGCTCATTTGGACTTTTAAGAAGCCCAACAGTCATTCTTTCTACAGGCAATAAACACGACGAGTATATAACCTCCCACAGTCTTAGGCCTTGTAGTAGACGACGATTAGCCCTTCTTCCAATTCAATCAATCAAAGGTATTTTACTAATCTCTTACGATCTATGCTTCAATCTTTCTTCATCTTCTTCTTTTTGCTGCAGAGCTACTAAAAATTCTCGAACAAAAGTTAAGTATTGCATCAGATACGTAACACAATTATGCGCTATTCTTATTGTGGATGAATTTTCAGATCTATCATAAAAAATTCAAGTCTGAAACGCAAATCTGTAGATCTTCGACCAAATCTTCATTATCTAAGTTTTGATTGAAAGAATCTCCAATTCGCATATCTTATTTTGTGGTTTCAGATGAATTTTGTTTCTTTATCTATTTCTTCTTTGTAATGAACCAATCAGGTTGCAAATTTTATGTTATTTAAAAAAATTGTCATTTTTATATTATCAGCAGTATCTGTAACATTAAAATGTCTTCTCCGTATAGATTAGGTTTCATACCTTATAGATATGTGTTAATTCTCTCTTTGATAGAGCAAATATGAAATTTATTTCGGTAAAGGTCGCATTTTTTCCCTTTTTGAAAAAAAAAAAACGAATACTCCAGATTAATTTATTTTGCTAGTGAAAAAGAAAATTGGAACTTTATTTTTGTGGGGAGGTAGTATGAAATTTTCATTTTTCTTTTTCACAGTTTCTGTTTGAAATCAAATTTTTTTTTCAATAGTTTTAATTTCATTGACATGCATGGATTAAGATCTTTTTTAAACAGAAATTAATTATAAACCTTTTAATCATTTGATCAATAGTCATAATTGTTTCTATTTTTTTCAGTTTTGGACGTGAAAAAGAGACTGTATCTTTATATATAGCTACATAAGGTAGTTAGATTTCAGGGTCAAGATGCCTCGCTATGATGATCGATATGGTAGCACTACTCGTCTCTACGTGGGTCATCTCTCTTCTCGCACCCGTACTCGTGATTTGGAATACACTTTTGGGAAATATGGGAGGTATACTCTTTTCTCTGAGAATGCAGTTGTTATTTCAGATTTTACCTAGATACCTATGATACTAAGGTAGTTTTTGGCTTATCATTGTAGTATGGTTCTCACTTTTAGAAATTTAGTTCAAGTGAAATGTCCCTAGGTTCACTTGTTTGTTGAAATGAACAAGTGAATTATCAGAATTAGAATCCCCCTTCCAAAACCTCACCTTTTTAAGCATGGTTCTATTTTTTGAACAAAAATGTAAATTTTCAAGTACCAAGGATGAAGTCTTTTTATGTTGGTTAGAAATAGGGATTTTTTAGAAGGGGGGTTAATGGGATATGCTAATGTTGTGTCTGAATCAAGCATGTGTTGATCTTAGTGAGCTGAGGTACCATGGTTTCTGCAACTCAGCTTCCATCAATTGTGTTATCTCGCAACCTTACTTGCTCTTACTGTTTTGAGTGTTTTCCATGATCTCAAATATATTTTCAAAATGACATGTAACATTTTTGTCAATTGGAGCTGCCTTGCAAGTTGGCAAGGGTGTTTTTGGCTTGGACTTCTGTTTTTTGTTATGTACTAGGAACAATGTCCCCATCATCAGATGCATGTGTGTTTAACTTGAATGATCTTGTTGAAGGAATCCGGGGCATTTGCTTGGCCTGAAGGTCTATGTTGAGAGGGTGCCCTTGGTGGTCTTGATGGAAAACCACACACCGAGTTTTAGGAGAGATTGTTGATTCTTTGTGTAGTCTTTGCCTGTTTTTATGCAATTGGCAACAAATCAAACTGGTGTTTAGTTCCGTAGTTCGTCTTGATGGGCAAATGCCACCCAGTCTTCTGTGCTTAAGTATTGATGATGGCCTTATTGTTTCTGGAAACCATTTCCGCAGAGTACGCCAAGTGGACATGAAGCGTGACTATGCCTTTATTGTATGTATCTTTTCTCTCTGTTTATTCTTGCATGTTACCTTTTCGTAGTTTTTCCCAACCCTGAGGATTTATTCTTGTTTTCGGTGGTCTACTGTTTTGTTCATGACAAGTTAGACTATTGTATGTATCCCTTTGTTTTCTTTGCAATACAATTTCTATCTTCAGGATTTTAGCGATCCTCGTGATGCTGATGATGCAAGACATTATTTAGATGGATGTGAAATGGATGGACACCGTATCATCGTTGAATTTGCAAAGGGAGTAAGTAATTTCTATTTATCATTTAATTTTTGGTCTTTTCAGTTCAATGATATTTTGAGGTAGTTAATTTGTATTGCTTTTTCTCTAGTTTATTAAGTACAATGTAGTGAATACTTCTTCTTTCCTTGTGAATATCATTACATTTACATGCATTTTTTTTGAATCGTATAAATGTTTCTTTTCCTTTTTTAAAAAAATAACATTAATAATTACTCCGTATGACTCTGAAGTGGAACATGCTTAACTTTTCTTGACTTGCATTGATGCCTAAATGGTTGACGTCATACAGGTACCTCGGGGTTCAGGCGGGTCCCGAGATTATCTTGGACGTGGTCCCCCTCCTGGTTCCGGCCGCTGCTTCAACTGTGGTCTTGAAGGTCACTGGGCCCGCGATTGTAAAGCCGGTGACTGGAAGAATAAGTGCTATAGGTGCGGAGAAAGAGGTCACATAGAAAAGAAATGTCCAAACAGTCCTCAAAAGCTCAAGTATTTCTTTTCTTGGATCCACACTCTCATCTTGTTTTTTATATTCATTGTTGAAGAATCTTGCTAGACTGCCCTTCACTTTATTTATGATCATCCAACTGTAGGCGTGGAAGGAGTTACTCAAGGACACCGGATAGATCTCGGTCTCCTCGCTATGGTCGGAGGCATAGCCGAAGTTATAGCCCAAGACGCAGCTATAGGTATGCCATATACTTTCCCCTTTGTAAATAAAATGAATTATAGTGATTAAAATTTAACTATAGTCTTGTTGCCGATAATGGGACTTGGTTGAAATCAGTTCCAATTCAATCTATTTAAATAATATTTCCAAATAAAATTTGTTTCAAAAAAACATCAAATGCTCTGTAAAACAAACTTGATTATATTATTTCAAAAAATTATTAACCAAATTAAATAAAAGAAAACCCGAGAATAGTGTGTATTGATTGAGACTAGTTATGGGAAGGTGGGAGTCTTTTGTGTTACATGGTTTTTTTAATAGCAAATGGGCCCTCTAAGTTTGCTTCATTCATTAGAAATCACCCTGAATAAGACTAAAATATAGAAAAAGTACCAAAACAGGACTTCAATGTTATTATTTTGAAAATAAGAGTTCGCATTGTGGTAATGTTGAGGTAATGTGACACTGTACACGCACACATTACTATGCTTTTTGGTAATGTATATGACCACGTTTGGTAATGTAAATGCATTTTAACTCTTATTTCGAATATAAAAATATGGAAGTCTTGTTTTGCTATATTTTCAATGTTTTACTCCTACTTCTTTTTTCCTTCAATCATCAATTAAAATCACTAGTTTTTTTAATAAAAAATTAAATGAAATCGTTAATTGACAAGTATATGAATGATTTTGAATTTCATTACTCAGCCGGTCAAGGTCAAGATCACCTGTGGCGAGGAGGGAAGTGGAGTATGAGCGGAGGTCGCCCCCCAGCAGAAGCCCGGCAAGGAGCAGAAGCCCAGCAAGGAGCAGAACCCGGAGCCCGTCTGAGACCAGAAGTCCTCGACCTTCGTCCAAAACACAGAAGCGCCACTCCTCCCCTCCTCCGGCTGAGACCAGCCCCCCTGGCGGCGGTGGCGGCAGCAGGGGAGAGAGTCCTTCTCCTCCCCCCTCAAAGAGGGCAAGAGCCAGTCCAGACGATGGCGGGGACTCTAGGAGTCCTCCAGATGGGAGGAGAAGTCTGAGCCCTCTCAGCCCAGCGAGAGGCGGTGGCGGCGGCGGTGGCTCAGCTCCTAGGAAGTATGATGAGAGCCCTTCGGATGCCAATGGCCGAAGCCGCAGCCGCAGTCTCAGCCGGAGTCCGAAGTATGAAAGGAGATACGCCGAGGAGGACGATTAACGAAGATTGGGTTGAGATGTTTTATTTGTTTAATCATCATCGTTATTTCAAGGGACAATGAGACTTTTTTTGTCTGGGAATGGTTTGTGGTATTCACAACCATTCTATGGATGTGTTATTGTGGACATGTTTTTTTCTTCAAGTTTTAGACATTCTAAACTCTCATTTTTCTTAGTTGTCTGCAGACAGTTAGTACTTTATTGATACGAAAGACTAAAGAGTGCTTGTTTTACTCTCATTCCCATGTTTGGTTGGTTCAAGTAATTTGAGGGAAAGAAAAAGGAAATGAAGAAGTAAAAAGTTTTTCTTGTTTTGGTTAAAAAAGAAGAGAAAAATGAAAGATAAAGAAGATGAGAAGTTAAAAAATGTACTAGAGAGAAGAAATGGTGTTTAAGGTAGTGTGCATGTAGTGTATTAATCTAGCATATTTGTTCAGTTCTATTTCATATGCTATGGACCATTATTTTTTGGGAATTTTTTGAATGATAAAAAAAATTAAACTTGTAGTAAAACATAGAAAAAAATACCCAAAAAAAAAAAATTCTATATTAGTTACAGTACGGATGATGTCAATATGTATTAACAAAAAACATTGTAAAGTGCCAAAAACATTGTAAAATGCCAAAATACAATGTCATATTATCACAGTACAAACTTTTATCAATATTTTATTTGAAAAGAAGGGAATTGTTGACCCCATTTTCTCACTCATTGACTTTGGATTATATATAGCAAGTATGTATTTTATAGTAATATATTAATGTATTTTATTATTGGAAGTTGATACTTCCTCCGTACCAAATTATTTGCCACATTTGTATTTTCGAGGCAAAATATCAAGTTTTTTCAATTCATTTTATTTACAAATTAGTATAGAAATAAAAAATAAAATTTACATATAAAAAAACTACATGAAAAGTTCTTCGAAATAAGAGGTGTCAAGAATATTTTATTTTATCAAATAATCAATGAAAACGTCAAAATAAACAAAAGTTCTCGCGACTGCTAAAAAAGCAAATGTGTGAATATTTTGGGACGGAGGGAGTATATCATATATGTTTCCCTAAGGGCAACCGCTAATTATGTACTTCCTCCGTCCCAATTTATAGTGCATGTTTACTATTCATAAGGTCAAATTTCATTCACATTTTTTATCTATTTTTGTTAGCAATTTGATAAAATTAAAGTACTATTGTCACTACTAGTTTTGTAGACCTTTTGATGTAGTATTTTAATACTCCCTCCGTCCCGCAAAAAAGTCCTTCTTTCTTTTTTCATCCGTCCCAAAAAACACTTCCCTTTTCCTTTTAAAAAGTTACTTTTACCCCTATTAATTTTTAACATACCTATCACATTACACTTTTTCTCTGTTAATCTATCCATCACATCCTACTTTATCCATCACATCAAAGGGCATTTTTGGAAAGTCAACACCAAAATACACTCCCCTCAAATCCTTAAAAAGTCTAAACGAGAACTTTTTTAAGGGACGGAGGGAGCATGTAATTTTTATTTTCTAACTCTATACTATTTGTCGTATTAAATGATTTTAAAGTAATTTCAGTCAAACATCGTAAACCGAAACAGACACTATAAATTAGGACGGAGGGAGTATCACTATCAACTAATGGACTGTCGTGCTATCATTAAGCATCTGAATTACCCCTTTTACAAAATGGGATAATAGCATGGGTGCCCCCCGTGGTTTACAAAAGGAGCGTCATAACCCCATTTACTTTCAAAAGTTATTTGTAAAACACATGTGGTTTTTAAATAGTGCATAAACACCCCATCTTGCCTATTTTACACATGAAATGACATTTCTGCCCTTAGTTTTTCTCTATCTTCAAATTTCACTCTTTATTTAATTTTCAAAAAAAAAAATAATTGTTTTAGAAAATGTTACAAAAATGAAATAAAATACACTTTTTCATTATAAGTAAAAGTAAAATAAATAAAATAAAAAATTGGATAACATATACTCACTCTATCTCTAATTAAAAATTCTAACTTATTTGTTTTTTAAAAGTAAAATAATTTTTTAAGGACTTTAAAAATGAAGAACAAAAAGATGAAATAAAATATGGAGTTAAAGAAAAAGACTATTTTTTATATTTTTATTTCTTTTCATTACCTTTTTAAACTATTATTACTTTTTACTTTGTACATAATATTTTATTTTTCATTTTTTGTAACATTCTCCAAAAAAATCTTTTGTTTTCAAAAATACATTATGAAAAATTCTAATTTGAGATGGGAAGCGTATATTTTATTTTATATATTTGTATAATAAATGAAATTAAAATTGGAAAAATTCAAGATCGGGGAAAACAAAGGGCATAAATGTCATTTTTTCTTTAAAAATAGGTAAGGGGGGCATGTGTGCTTTATTTAGAAACCATAGGAACTTTACAAATAACTTGAAAACAGAGGAAGTTTTGACGCCCTTTTTGTAAACCACAGGGGACACCCATGCTATTAACTCTTTACAAAATTGAAGCTTTTTTTGTCATCGTAATATTAAGGCCCCGTTTGGCATCAGCGTCAGAGATTAGCGTTAGCGTTTCGAAAAAGCTATCTGACGGTAGCCTTTAGCGTTAGCGTTTTCAGAATTAATCTGCACCGTTAAAATTTTATCCAAAACGCTAACGCTAATCGAAAACACTGTTACCAAACAAAGCCTAAAAATGTGCCTATTGCCATAGACGTAGACGGAGTATTTAATTCTCCTTAATTGGAAATCAATTTATAATGGAGACTCTTCACATTTCATATTATTGCATGCTCAATTGTTATAATATTTACAAATAACAGTGTATATATTTTTTGAATTTATTTTCATTTTAGTTCAGTTCAACACATGATTAATCTTTCTATTTGATTTTTCCTGATCAATGTTTGTAAAATTTTGACATCGATGTATGAAAAAGGAACATTATTACATGCATCTATGATCCATGATGGATTTCCATTTATGCTGAATAAATATTTTCAAATGTTGAAATAAGCATTTTTAAAATTAAAAAATACGTGAGAGGGTCAATGTGGACCTTAGGTCTATTATAGAGTTACTCGTGAAAAAATATTATGTTTCAATATAAATATAATATGAATGGTTTTATTTTAATAGGTTGTTTAAAGATAATAAAATTTTATAAAACATATCTTTCAAGTGCATGGAAAATGTGATAAACCAATAAAAAGTTATGGAGTATAAGTCCAAAGGAAAAAGAAATAAAGAAAACTAATAGAATGTTACTGTATTTTTTTCGAACGTTAATATATAAACCAAATTTTTAAAAAAAATTAAAGAAAAAAATAAAAAAGCATTAATAGGACGAAAATATGTAGTGGGTATGCATGAATTATAATAATGATATTATTATTATTATTATTATATTATTATTATTATTATTATCATTATTACTAGTTTAAAAACGGGATAAATGGTTGAACATTATTAACATAAAAGGACGGTTAAAAATAATTGGTAGTGTAATAATAATAATATTATTATCTTATTTAAATTTTTAAATAATTTTTTTTAAATTCTATAGAATATTAAAAAAAAGTTAAAGTATAGAGTGGATAATAATAATAATAAAAATAATAACAATAATAATAATAATAATAGTAATAAAAGGTGGAGTGTTAATAATAATAGGTGGAATATTAATAGTTAAAAGTCTATTACTATAACTTTAGTTAATATCAAATACTCACTCCATTCATATTTAAGTGTCACTTTCACTTTGTATCTCAAATGTTTGGCTAACTATATACAAAAAAATAAAAAAAATAAAAAAATAAAAATTATACCAAATTATTGATATTGAATTTTTTTTAAAAATGTATTATTTTTAATATGTTCTGCTAATATATTTTAAGAGATATTATTGGTCAAACTTTAAGTTCAAAAAGCAAACTGAACAATTACATATGAATAGATGGAATATAAATTTTAATTTAAAATTTATCTAATTATTTGGGATGAAGCATCAATAACACATAAGTATTTTTCAAAGCTTTAGATAGAATTTTGCATGATATTTTATAATTTTCATATCCAATGAGTGAAAGTCAAACGTTTGGATGAAAAATAAGTATGTTTGGTAGAGACTTTCGTCATATATTGCCAATAATTCTAAAATGAACCAGACAAAACAATTTTCCATTCACTAATTAATTCTTCCTGCATTTGGATATATTGCATTGTGTTTCTTTCAACAAAAAAATAAGGTTGTAATCAATTATTCATGAATACCTATGTACGTAGTTTATAAATATGTTTTTAAAATTTTAATTTGATTTACTTGATATTCAAACTTTACAGTTTTATATTTTGTTATGTAGTCTATTTCAATTTCATAACGTAAATATGATTTTTCGTTAAACGCACGTGTTTGATACTAGTTTCGAAAACAAGAATATGAAAATCTTGTATTGATACTTTCTCTTTGTTACTCTGGAGTGATTTCTTATAAGAATTCTAAGGGATGAGATCGAAAATACTTAAAATAAAAGAATAATCTAAATACTTAAATACTAGCGTAGTATTTTTTTCTTTTTGTATAAATTAAATAAAAAGCAATAATAAGCCATTCTCCCTTTTTATAGGCAGCTCTCATGTTTCTCCATACATGACCAACTGCTTTTCACCCCACCCAAAACAATCAAACTCACAAATTTTCATACTCATAATAATACCAAAACAAACAAAACCAACAATATTTGGCCCCTTCAATCTCTTACATCCCATTTCAGATGTCCCCCATGGTAAATCCTCCGGCCACCGCCCTCCTCCTCCTTGTGGCGTTCCTACACCCGTTCGCCGCCCCCACGACGGAGGCGTTCATCCGGCATGCCATCCCAAGGGATCAGCTCAGGAGGAGGAATCCGGCGAAGGCGGCCGCCGAGCCTCACCACCGCGACCACCACCACCACCTCCTCCCCAGCCTCCACATTCCCCTGCCGGAGCCCCCCTTCGTCCCCCTCTACAACTGGGCCCAGCACGAGTTCGTCGCGGCCCACAACGACCTCCGCGCCACGGTCGGGTCCCCGCCCCTGGCGTGGGACCCGACCCTGACCAAGTTCGCCCACGACTACGCCATGAAGCGGAGGCGCGACTGCGACTACCGCATCCACTCCGGTGGGCCCTACGGGGAGAACCTGTTCTGGCAGCTGTACAAGGAATCGAGCCCCCGGGACGTGGTGGCGTCGTGGTTCGACGAGCGGCGGTTCTACGACCACCAGCACCACCGGTGCACGTGCCAGCCGGAGCGTGAAGGGTGCGAGTGTGGGCACTATACGAATGTGATCTGGCGCAGTACCGAGAAAGTCGGGTGTAGCGGTTACGTTTACTGCGACGGACAGAAGGGCATTCTCGTCGTTTGCTCCTATCATCCCAAGGGTAATATCCTTGGTAAAAATCCCCTGTTAATACCCTCCTAATCCATATTTTATCATTAATTATGTATGGAGTATTTTAAATTTGTATGGAAATTTGTATTCAAATAAATACACTTTTCATGTGAGAATGAAGATTTAAGTCAAATTCTTTGATGGATCCGTCCATGATGAATTTACATATGAGTAAAAATCCCCTATTAATACCCTCCTAATCCATATTTTATCATTAATTATTATGTATGGGAGTATTTTAAATTTGTATGGAAATTTGTGTTCAAATGAATACACCTTTCATCTCAGAATGAAGATTCGTTTAAGGCAAATTCTTTGGTGGATCTATCCACGATGGATTTACATAAAAGCAAAATAATCATTTCTTTAATACTCTATCCGTACTTAAATAGATTTCAAATTGTGGGTTACGAAGAGAAATATCTCACTTTTTGAATTTATTTTATTTACAAATAGTATATCGATAAGAAATAAAAATTACATATTAAAAAGCTACGCCAAAAGTTCTACAAAACAAAGGGTGGCAAGAATATTTTATTTTATAAAATACTTAATGAAATCGCGTAAACAAACAAAAGATATCGAGAGGAGCGAGAAAAAAATTGTAATCTATTTAAGGACAGATGGAGTATTTAATTAAGCATTTATTTTTTTGAATAAAAAATAAAAAAACAAATTTTTATGTGAGAAGGTTCACAAAAATGATATGCACCGAAGGTACATCAAAGAAACACTCTTCGTCTAATTTGAATTTTTTGAGTTAAACAAAACAAATTTTTATAATAGATTTAAAAATTTGTATTGTGCATCAACACAAAATGAAAAGATTAATACCGGACGAAGAGAGTATTATGAAATGAATAGTAAAAATAAGTAAACAAAGTAGATAAATTTGATGTATGGAACAACATATTCAGAGAGAGAAAGAGAGAGAGAGAGAGAGAGAGAGAGTATTGCTCCTCTTTCCTAGGGGTGCATACAAATCAAATAAAATGTATTCGATTCGTGATTCGTATTCAAAAAGGATTATTCGTATTCGCTATATTCGAATTCGAATCCGAATACAAATCATATTTTAGATTCGAATTATTTTCGAATTCGAATACAAATATTCATAGATTCGATTCGTTTATTATTCAAATTATTCGAATATTATAATTTATAAATAAATTTATATATATATATATTCTAATCTATTAAATATTTGTGTACATATTTTAACATATTTAATATATTAAATTTTTTTGTACATATAAATTTATATATATTCGAATATTATAATTTATAAATAAATTTATATATATTCTAACATATTTTTACTACATTTTACATTAATATAAAATAATAATTTAATGTCTTTAAAGTTTAAGCAATATGTTTTAAGAAAAAAATTACTAATATTTTCGAATTCGAATAATCGAATACGAATTCAAATACGTCAAATATCTATCGAATCGAATACGAATGTTTTTTAAAATTCGAATTATATACGAATCCGAATTCGAATACATATCACTTTAATCGAATATGAATCGAATAGTGATATTTTTGCTTCGATTCGATTCGTATACACCCATACAGTCCTTCCTTTAAAAGATCTTCTTGATTTCTATTATGGTATTTCGATAACTCTTACTTGGTATTTGTTTGTATGTTTTCGTTGATCATTTAATAAAATAAAATATTATTTTCATTTCTTGTTTATAAATTTTTTGAATATAAATTTTTTATTTCTTTACAAATTTGAAAATAAAATAATTCTAAAAATCGTTATATTTTTCACGTGGATTAAAGAAGGAAATTCTTTAGCAATGGAAGGAGTAATTAATAAATACAGATTAAAATTTATTGTATGATAAATTTAAACGACAAAGATTTTATGACAGATGAATTTAGCTTTCAATTTCATGGAATGACAATAGCTTCATTTGGGACACATGATATTTGATTCGTAAAATAAATGATTGATACTCACAATATATTCTCTACCATGACTTGACCCAAAGCCACTTCCACTTTATACTCTCAAATTTATTTGACTTTGGTAAAATATAAAAATTAATCTATTCATCCACCAAAATGATATCCCATATTGTACTCTTGAAGACCTATATCAATATTTTATGTTAATGTAATAATTTAAATTGAATATAAAATATTTTAATTAAAATAACATTTTATATTAGGGTAAACTGTTAAAATATAGACATAGGTATAAACTTGTCTACACTGGGGTACCTTACCATAAATCACATATCCTCCCATACTTCGAAACCCCTAATCGCTCTCAATCCTCAGCCGGCCGGAGCCTCACTCGCAACTCCGCCGCTCCTTCTCGGACGCAGCCGCAGTCTGTGACTCTTCCCACCACGCACTGAGGCAGCGAGGGCGCCTGCGCCGTTCAATCGCCGGCAATTCAAGGTAGGCCCTCGCAGTCCGTCGCTGAAGAAATTAATTATTTTCTTCTCTTTTTTCAAGAGTTTTAATCCTGTTTGTGGTTGTTTGAGCTGTCCTCCCACTTCGTTTTGTTTCTGCGAGTTAAATTTTTCTGCTATTTTATTTTAAATTCAAAATCGGACGGAATGGCCAAGTTTATCTGCAGAGTAATCATATGGATAGGACAATAACCCTCAAAAGCAGAATTAGGCAATCCTTGTTACCGGAATGTTGAATTAAACTTTTATGTGTTTCATATGTGCTCCTTCGTAACGGCATCAATATTTACTTATATCGTATTTCATTTGTCAAATGAAAAGAATCTTGTTTTAGATTTGTACAAAATTTCAATGATAGTAAGGTATAAAAATTCGAATATCATCAACTGTAGGTATAGTTTTAAACTTATTATTTGGTTCCAAACACTCGCGGGACAGTGTTTTTTCATAACGCGAAGTTGCTATAACAACGCTTAGCTTCATTTTTTTCAAATTGCACTTTTTTCAAATGATAGAAGTTAGATTCCTGTTTAATTATTTGATTTCATGTGTTTATATGTTTAAGAGTTGTAATTAGTTCTCATTATTTCCATTCTCTTGTACCCTTGCAAATATATATACAATCACCATGGTTAAGCATTCTTGAAACAATTACAAATCCCATTCGTCATATTTACTACATTGAACCTGAAATCAGTTTGGGAGTATGTACATGCAGACACACAAATTGAACCAAACAAATTCAGTATATTGCACTAATAGCGTACCATATGGGGGGAAGATGTAAAACAATCTTACCCTAATCCATTGAGTACAGGGGATTCACATGTGTGTATATGCATATATGTGTGTGTTATATTTCTTGTTGTCTAAAATTTATGTTGTCTGGGGTTTCTGATATCATTGCTTTGCTTTCCTTCAGGATTGTGTTTGTATCATTGTGTGCTTGTTAATGATGGAATCCTCAGCTGATGAAGCATTCTCTGCATTTGAAGCAAAAGTAAAACGGACTGTGTACATTGACAACCTCTCACCCCTGGTTAATGAGTCGGTTCTTAGGTCTGCATTTGGCCAGTTTGGGAATGTCACCAGTGTTCAGTTTATTCCCAACTACTTGGAACCAGCAAACTCACAGGCTGCTTTAATTGAAATGGAAAATGCTAAGCAGGCCGAAGGGATAATATCTGACATCTCTAATTCCCCCTTTATGGTTTCTGGGATGCCAAGACCTGTCAGGGCACTTCCTGCAGAGAATGGGATGTTTGACGACCGTCCGAAAGGGACGAAAGGTAAAATACTGGTTCGTTGGTTGGAACCCGATGATCCTAATTTTAAGGTGGCCGAGGAGCTTGTAAAGTTGACCAGGAAACATTCTAATGAGGCCAAGTATCTCAAAGCGGTAATATTTCAATATAATTAAGAATATCATTCTTAAAGATCTTTTACAAATTGAATATTGCTGCTACTACGAATTATTTGGGAGTTAGTCTAGACCTTGAGAACTCCTTTCCTAAAGGAGACGGATACTTTTCCAAAATGTGTAATTATTTACAGAAACAGTCTGAAACGTTTTTTGATAAATGAATTTGTTAATTTTATTCGTACTTAGTGTCTAGAGAAAGAGGACAAGGAGCTTGCAGATCAGCAGGCAGAGGCATTGAAGTCCAATTACAAAAAGTATGAGCTGATCGACAACATTTTTGCGGACAAAACCGCTCATCGCTTGGGAGACCGATATAACATCCGTGTTTCAGATGCTTGAGGAGTTTATGGGAGGCCGATATAGCATACATGTTTCAAATGCTTGAGGAGATCAAGGTTTCTCTCCAGCTCCGATCCCTGTATTGAATGATCTGTTTCCTTGACCATGTTTTTGGTACACACTTGGGCATTATATTGTTATTTTCATGGGCATGATGTTTGGTATTGTTGAAATGGATGGGCGGGCATAAAGAAGGCAAACTCTGGGCAAGTATTTTCTAGTTTTTGCTTCTTTTTTTTACTCTAAAAAATATAAATATGAATTACGGAGTACTTCAAACCCTGTAAAAAATATTGATAGAAGGTATCAAAAGACCATCGTTGTCCCACAATTGAGTTTACAGCTTAAACTTTTATGGTTTCTAATGTGCTATACTTTGACTGTTGATATCCATACTTGCACACACAAAAAAATACTTTGTATTATAAATGTTACATGTTCTATAATGACATTCCCTACTTTCGAGTAGGGGCAAGGTCTGTGTACTTTGTATTGTAAATTTGTTTGTACAACATTGTTTGTAATTGTCTTCAAGCTCTGATAGCTTATATATCCCTGTTAAGCCGCTAAAAATATTTTCAAGTAGTATAATTCTATTGTTTTTATTGCCACATACATATTACACGCAATCTATTGATATTCTTTTTTACCTCAGAAATCATGGACAAATTATAGTCATCAAAACAATTTTTTAAATTTAGTTATTACTAACAAAAAGTTTCTAAACTTGTGTGCATTGATTAGGATAGTGTGTAAAAAAGACATATGCATGAAAAATCTAAAATAAGGATTTTACTATTTAATTATCCATGATTTCTAAGAAATCTACTAATGATATTTATAATTTTTATAGATGTATGTTGATTTGCTAAAATAAAATAATAATCATAAAATATACACCTTTTTATGTCCTTTTTTGTTGAAGTATTCTTTTTTT